ATGGACTGTAGCCTGTCAGGCTTTTTAGTCCATGGAATTCTCGAGGCAAGAACACTGGAGTGTGTTGCCATTCCCTTCTCCCATCAAATCTATGTTTTAGAAAGGGCAAAGAAAAGTGAAGATGAATAAGATTTCCACTCACTTTTCATTGGTGTGACCTAGTCATACGGCTGCAGGAGATATGGAGCGTGAAAAAACAGAGTCTAACTGGATGGCCAAGTGGCTGGCAAAAATTAAAAGTGATGCTACAGAAATACATACCATATCTGTCTTAGAAATTTATGTACCTACCAACTGCAATATTCCTCTAGGGATGCCTTAAAGATGTGTGGTATATAAGAAATGGGTCTGTAACTGTATCATGTAAAGAGCCAGGTAATAAATATTATGGGCTTCCCAGGTGGTTCAGTCGTAAAGAATCCACCTGCCAAGCAGGAGACGTGGGTTCGATCCCCTGGTCGGGAAGATCCTTTGGACAAGGAAATGGCAACCTACTCCAGTATTCTTGTCTGGGAAACTCCATGGGCAGAGGAGCCTGGTAGGCTGTAGTTTATGGGGTTGCAAAAAGAGTCAGACACAACTTAGCAGCTAAACAACAAGTAAATATTATAGGCTTCCCGGGTACATGCTCTCTGCTGCAACTACTTAACTCTACTGTTGTACTGCAAAAGCAGCCATGGACTGTATGACTATATGTAAGTGAAAGAACATGACTAGTTTTAGTCATCTGTTACAACATAACAAATTACTATAACATGAAGTTTAAATCTACATGCATTTATTATCTTACAATTACCATGGATCAGGACCAGAGTCAGGGTCCTTCATCTAGGCTCTCACAAGGCTGCAATCACAGTCAACTGGAGTATGCTCTCATCCGGAGGCTTGACTGGGAAAGAATCTACTTCCAACCCACTCTAGCTATTAGAGGACATATTTCCTTGTGGCTGTAAGACTGAGGGCTTAGGGCCTCAGCTTCCTGGTGGCTGCTGGCTGCCCTCAGCACCTAGAGGTCACTTGCAGTTCCTTGCCGTGCGGTTCTGCCCAGAGCCCCTCTTACAATATGGCAGCCGGTTTCTTCAAAGTCAGGAAGGGAGAAAGTCTCTAAATGAGTTTGGTATCATGACAATTTTATGTAATATAACAGTCACAGGAGTGACATCCCATTACCTTTGTCATATTTTATCGGCTAGAAGCAGGTTAATACGTGCTGCCCACACGCAAGGGGACAGGATCAGACCTAGGTATAAATATCAAAAGACAGGGATGACTGAGAGTTTGTCCACCAGAGCTGTGTTCCAATAAAACTTTATAAAAACAAGTGGTGAGCTGTATTAGGCTCACAAGGCATAGTTTACAGACAACTGGTATAATAAATAAGGTGTAGAAGTCATTGTTTAAGGTAAGAAGAGGTAAGAATTCATTGAACAGAGTTAGAGAGGAAGAATCCTCAGAGCTAGGAGAGCTATGTAGAAAGATGGTGCTATCCCATAACACACTTATTACCTTGTTAATAAAAAAAATTAAGAATGGGACAGATGGACATTATGCTTAAATCTAGTTATCATAAGATAGAGTTGTTATTAGAACACTAATTAAATTCAGAAGGAGTTTCATAGTAAGCTTTCTCCAGGTTTACTTTAATTCACACCTTACATGGAATAATTTCAACAGAAAGCCTAGTCATTTTCTTAGTGATTATGAAAGTGACAGCTAACACTTATGTGATTATTGTAAATCAGGAATTATGCTAAATGTTTAATTTGAAATATCTCATTTAATCTTCATAATAATTCCATGTAATTTAGATTATTATTATTCCCATCACAAAGATTAGGAAACTGAGCTTAAGCTAATTAAGTAACACAAAAGGCAATAAAACTAGTATATGACTCTTAGTCTGTCCTGAGGTTCTAAACACTTAAATTTTACTTGAAGTTTAATGTGAAGTCTTTGAAGGCTTGCAGGGAGGTAGTGTAAGTTAACATGGTTAATGTTTGTAGTGATATACATGGAGCCAGAGAGTCACACAAAGTGAAATGAGTCAGAAAGAGAAATATATATACCATATATTAATGCATGTATATGTAATCTAGAAAAATGGCACAGATGAACCTATTTGCAGAGCAGGACTAGAAACACAGACATAGAGAACAGACATATGGACACAAGGGGGAAGGGGAGAGTGAACCGAACTGACAGAGTTGCACTGACATATATACTGCACAATACGCAGTGTATGTGTAAAATATGAACCTTTGGGGAAGTAATTTATCAGTATGCAAAAATGACCTTAAAATAAATATAAATTAAAAAAACAAACACAAAGAGGGATGTGTGTGCTTACATTTACACGAGGCATCTGAAATGATAAAAACCAAATGTTTCCAATGAGTTAGGTGGGTACTCCTGGGGAGAGAAATCTTTTTTTACACATTTTTAAAAAATAGGCAATTTTATATTTACAATAAAATTCCATTAAAAGTAAAAATAAAAAGTAAATCTTCATACTTTTGGCATAATCCCACTTCTAGGAATCTGTATTAATAATAAAATAATGAAAAAATGTGGTCTATGGTTTATTTATAATGATCTTCACCAGTGAGTTCTTTAGTATTTTTTAAAATTGAAAATCATCTAAATGACCAACACTGATAGATTGGATAATTAAATAATAATTATCCATTCAAATGAAGGACTACCTAATGATAGTAGAGAAAGATATGTGAATAGAAAAAAAAAATAACCTTCAATAAAATCTACTAAAATGTCATTAATGGCCCTTTCTGAAAAATGAGAGTATATAACTTCAGGTTACTCCTTTATGAGTTTTTGGTGTTTCCCAATTTAAAAAATCAGATTTTCTCATCAAAGAATTGCAAATATTATTTGCAATACTTCTTTCTAACAAGTAATTATATTTTTATTCAATCCTCATGACAAGCATTCACATAAAACATGTTTATCTGCTAAGAAAGAAGGTTTCAGTTTCCACTTATCACTCCACCCACCTTATTTCTGTGAAAAAATAACACACAATAATCTTTGGGAATGATACCTTCTTTTTTACTTGTGTATCATAACAATGGTAGTGGCTTAAGAAGTAAAATTATCTGCAATTAAATATGCTTCAAGAATAATTATGCTCTTAGCTGGAATTAGCCGAAGGCAATGGCACCCCACTCCAGTACTCTTGCCTGGAAAAGTCCCATGGACGGAGGAGCCTGGTGGGCTGCAGTCCATGGGGTCGCTAAGAGTCAGACACGACTGAGAGACTTCACTTTCACCTTTCACTTTCATGCACTGGAGGAGGAAATGGCAACCCACTCCAGTGTCGCACTCTATGGGGTCGCACAGAGTCGGACACGATTGAAGCAACTTAGCAGCAGCAGCAGCAGCTAGAATTAGACCTCCAATTACCCATCCTTCCTTCAATGCCTTTGGTCACACTTTCCTGAACTAAACTAATGGAGAGAAAACTATTTACCACTATGTTAAGCTACAATAGGAAATTTCATTATGAAGTGTCACATTTCACTTAGATACCTACACTGGGAATTAAGTCAGCATCATATCAGTGAAGACGTCTACCTATTCATATGGTCACTGTCAGGAAGGCCTAACAAATTCAGCTTGAAATGATGGATGTCTATTTGTACATAAGAAGAAGTCTGAAAGAATATTTACCAAAATGTTTATAGCAGTCAGGTACGTTCCTCTGGGGACCAGCAGAACAGTGCATAAAAATATAAGATAGGTCCTGCAAGCTATATACAGAAACAAATCCTATTACATTATAAAAGTGTCTTCTAGATATGCTATCGATGGAAGTTTGAGTTTAACAACTTTTCAAATCAATCAACTATGGATAGCCACTATAATATTTACATTCTGAAATAATCCAAACACCTAATCCTTCTAAGCAACAACATACAAACACACATATAAATAAATAAGGGCATAAATTCCATATACTGAACATTTATTTGGGAGACGTTTAACATTTGTATTACTCAGACACCTCATATAAGGACTGTGATTTGAATCCAAAGGCTCTGTTAAGTCATATTTGAATATCTCTGCTGTCCTCACTTTCTCTCATTTTCTCCTTCTCTCCTGTTTTCCTTCTTTCCTCCCTCCCTTGCTGTCTGCCTGTCTCCCTAGAAAAAATACAGTACAGACTTTTCATTCATAAAAACTTCAAGTGATTATTTTATGCAGGCAACTATACTCATAAGTATATATAGCCATAGCATAAAATACTGTGCACTTTAGTTCAACTAATTTTAAGACATTAAAATTTCATTGATTGAAATTAATTACCATATTTACAGAAAGAGAATATAAAAATGTTTTAAAAATTTAAGGATATTCATTTAGCACTCATTACAATTATTTTTACTCATGATCTGAATCTGTGTCCTATGCTATGAAATGAATTACTATTAATTTGCAGTACAAAGAAAAGCACACAAAAATGTAAACTGTTATTAAATCATTAAACTCAGAGAAAAAAATTAAAGCATGCAGAGATGCTCATTAGAGTTGACTCATAAACTAGTACTAGCTTTCTTTAAAATTTCAAAATATACTCATTATATTAAAGGAAAAAAAGGCCATAATGTATTTAATTGAATGTGGCTACTGTCTTATGTTTATTAATGTAATTAATGACATTCTGTGTTCTAAGGTACACATTATATTGTATCCACAGATCCTCCTTAATACACCAAAGTATCATCAAGTATGTAAAAAATAAACAGGTCAGGCAATAAAGCAAAAATAAGCAGTAAAAACCACATGATAGCCACTTTTGTTTCCTTTAAAACAACGTTCTTAAACAACTGCTTGCTTTTGTCACACAGAACTAGAGAATGTATATTAGAACATCGGTACTCAGAACAATGATCTTCCTCAGCTGTTATTTGTCTAAGAAGCAATAAGCCATATAATTTACAAGGAGAAAGCGACTGAATCCTTCAGAAAACACAACCTGGCAGTTAATCTTCAAAGCAAAATAAGGAGGTGGCAGAAGTGTGATAGAGAAACCAGTCTTCAAGAACATCATGTAAGGGAATCCAGCTGTGCTTGTATGGTCTCTAGCTGTTTACAGAGACAAAAAAAAGAGAGAGAGAGTTGGTGAAGGGAGAGAAATTCATATGAAGTGTTGTTCAGAAACATGCAAATGAAGAAAAAGAATGCAACTGGTAGCTCTGCATTTTAAATCCACTCACAGAGCAATAAATATACCACTTAGAAAATTTTTCTTTTTATGTGAAGCTATTAGAATTCCAGCTTGCTGTTTTCAAATTTGTAAAGAAGGATTTCTAAATACTATTGTTTAAAACGTACCTAGCTGTTTTATTTTAAATGATCACTACATAAGATTTGTAAGGGGTGGGGGGAGGGTGGTAGAGGGAACAGTGCATATTCCTGGGTTACAAAAATCAGCATTTAAAAAGAAACATGAAATATCCTCAAAGATAAATCTTTACAGGCCTGGTATGTTCCTTTTCCCTTGGGCCAAGAAATTAAAATATTTAACATTATCTAAGGGCCAGTGTGGCTAGATAATACACAGTTTATTACTTGCTGCTTTACATTAAAACAACAATCCTATTGCTTTAATTAAAACCATATCCATTTTCTTCCTGATTTAGTCTGTCAGATCCTCTTCATCTCAGCAATGCTTCCTACTGTGAAACACAAGGTATTCACAAGGGAAGTTTAAGGAACTCAGCTCCATAATAGGGCATTTAAAAATAAGAATTCATGAAATGGAGGAAACATTGTGAAAAACCCCCATATAGGAAATTATTGAAAAAATTACATACCTTGTTATAGAAATCAAACAATTCCTTGTGACTGAATTCCACAAGAACTTTCTGCAGGCTCTGTAAAGAAAAGAAAGGAAGGGAGAAAGAAAGAAAGAAAAAAAATTAGTTTTGTACAGTTTACACTGCATTTCTGTTCTCTCCAGCTAGCCTCAGAATATGCCATATTATTCTGAGTGGTTTAAAAAAGGGAAAAAAAAAAAAAAAACAACTTACCTGGTCTACTCAACCCCACTGTTTCAAGGACTCAAAAAATACATTTAATAACACTCCACTGCAACAAAAGGTTTCAACTCTACAGGGGTATCTATCTGTTCTTTAAGTTGATTCTACAAAGGTTAACAAAATACAGGCCAACAAGGGAACACTTTCATTATCTATTTTTTTCAAGACAGAGATAATACATGAGATTATATTTCATCTTTCTCAGCAGTCCATTTGAAATCTGGTAAATACCATTACACAAAGACACTGGCGGCAGCATATCTGATTGAACTCATCCAGCCATTAATGCCACACACCAGCACAGCTGCTGCCTCCAAGCATTAACTAACCGTTATGATCTTAACCTGCTGAGATGGTTACCTTCTTAAATGCACAGACTCAGCAAAAGTTAACAATTAACATAACAGCTTCAAAGCTGGGACTTAAAACATGCTCGTTCCTTTCCCCTCACATGCAATAGAGAACTCTAAGGATGCTACGGATACTGAGTGATATTATGTACGTACACAGGATGGTGGGGTAGAGTGCAACATTTAACCCAACCCGCCTCAATCTGCCTGGGGTTGACTTTGTAAACCAAGGAAACAAACTAGTTTCTGACAAGTATTCCAACATGTTTATTTTACTCAGGGTACCTTTGGGAAGTGAAAATTAACGAGGAGAGAACATCAGGAATGTGTTACCTGCTCCGACCACACTGTCATGCTCATGGGATGGAACAGGCACCGTGAACTGAAGAAGTGGAAAACTTGCCAACAAACATTGATTCGTGTGCTTAACTGTCTACAGTCATGGCCAACATTATATTAATTCCAAGTTTCTAGGTTTACTGTTTTTTGGTTTTACTTGTTTTAATGATTTCCATTTCTATTTAGAAAGCCAACATTTTTCAAACCAGGTCTTCTCTAGCTAACTTCAGGAGAGTCAATGGGGCTCTGCTCAGAAACGGCATTTCCCTTTAGATGTAGCCCAAGCACACAGGCTCAAATTCCTTTCTTTGGTTTCTCTTACACACTCACATAAGTACTTAAGTTTTAAAATGAATGAAGAAGCATACTGGCTTTAAAGCTGTATCCTTTACAAATGGTTTTTTAAAAACTATGAATTTTTCAATCATATTAAAAAATCAGTTGATTAATTGGCACATAACATGAAACCTCCAAAGGCTTAATCAGCATTATCCAGTGATGCCATATTTTCTCCAGCAGTTAAAGAGAGATGATAAGCCTAGGTTTAGGCGAGGGTGGGATGTTCTGAGAGAATAGCACTGAAACAAGTATACTATCAAGGATGAAACAGATCACCAGCCCAGGTGGGATGCATGAGACAAGTGCTCAGGGCTGGTGCACTGGGAAGACCCAGAGGGATGGGATGGGGAGGGAGGTGGGAGGGGGGATCGGGATGGGGAACACATGTAAATCCATGGCTGATTCATGTCAATGTATGGCAAAAACCACTACAATACTGTAAAGTAATCAGCCTCCAACTAATAAAAATAAATGGGAAAAAATAAAAATAAAATAAAATTTAAAAAGCCTAGGTTTACCCTAGGGAAAAGCGAAGCAAGTTCATTTCTTTCCCCCCACAGCCAAACATTAGGAGAGAATTAAGACTGAATCAGCGTGTCAACAACTGATTTGCTGTAACTTAGAGGTAGCAGCCAAGCTAGGCTCTTGTTTCCTCTATTTTGCTTTGTCATCTTTCAAGGTAGTATTTTCTAGTTATGTTACACTTAGGAAAGGAAGGTAACTTAAAAAAAATACTTCTTAAAATAACAATAACTAAAACAATGTGTGTGCGTGCGCATGAGTGTCTGTATATAGAGAGAGATGTTTATTTTTATACACATCCATCCATCCATAACAGTAGACTCTAGGTACCCTTGGGAGACCGGATCCAGGACTTGCTGTGTATACCAAATTTTGTGGATGAAGTCCCATGACTGCCCCTCCAGATCTGTGGCTCCCAATCTTAGATTCAAACAACTGCAGATGATGTAGTGCCACAGCATTTATTGAAAAAAATCCACATGTAAGTGGATTACATGTGGATTTTTTTCATCTGCACAGTTCAAACCTGTATTGTTCAAAGGTCAACTAAATTGAGCATCTTGCCTTACTGAAATAGCCCCAAGAAGGAAAAGAACTGATACCTTGATATAAAACTCCCTGTGTTTGGCATAATAACTGGTAGCTATTACCGTGATCATTTCCCATTCGACACACAATGACTCAGAGAAGACCATGAGAATATGAAAAAGTGAGGGAATGATTTTGTTTCATGTCTATGTGTAGGGAGCATTATCCTAGATTTTGAGAATCTGTGTTTACCAAAGGGGTAGCCAGGGGCAGTGGTTAAAAGTTTTAGAGAAATAAGGATGGAGATGAGGTGTGTAGGGTAAAAAGGAAAGCGGGGTGGGGCTGGCCAGGGTCCAATTTCCCACTATGTCATGTTCTATCTAACATGGAACCCCACAGAGTCCAAGAATATTAAATGCAAATCTGACCTTTCAGGACATTATAGAAGTACTTCACTGAGAAAAAAGTATAGATCAAACTGTTTCATTTAACAGCTTGGTAGCTTTATCTATGACTTTAAGTTTAGAATGAATGATGGCCTCCCTTTTTACTCTTCCTTCAGGTCCCACAAATATTATGAGTATACCTGATCAAAATCTTTCCTGGGATTATATCGTTTTTAAGAAGAAAACACACACTTGAGCTTTCCTTGAGAATATAACCAGAAAGTCACAAATTTGCTTATCAAATGAGAATGAACTCTTTAATTTCATTGTTTACTCTTCAGAAAATGTACAGAAGGTTCAAATCATTATGTTGTACACCCGAAACCGATAGTATGTTATGTAAATTATATCTCAATTTTTTTTTTTTAAGTCACATGGGTGGTAGCATTTGGCTGGAGAGAAGAAGCAAATCATCAAGAGACCCTTAGAGACCAAATTTGATTTAGCCAGTGTGAATGATCTGAAAGCCTGGCCAGTGATGGAACGCAAGGACTGGGGGTGAGGGGCAAATAATTAGGAACAGCCTTTTTCTTGGGAGGTTTCCTGGCAGTTCCCCTAGCTGAAAGGCTACTCATGGGCAGTCTGGACTGACAGATTGATCTGATTTAAGAAAAAAAAAAAGAGCGACAAGAAGACTTGAACAAGCACTTGCCAGAAGAGGATATCCAAACAGAGAAAAACATGAAAATATATTCTGAAAGGGATAAAATTATGTGTAACTATCTTGCAAATTTGCCTGGAATTATTTACTAAAGCTGAATATTTATATACATCCTATGACCCAGAAATTCAGTCCTAAATATTAATATTAAGCTCAATAGAAATATACACATTTGGGCACCATGAGATAGATGCAAGAATAGTGATAGCATTATGATTCAAAAGAACCAAAACTGGAAGTAGTAAAAATCTGTTTCAACATTAGAATATATAAGTAAATTGTAGTAGAGGAATACAATGGAATGTTATTCAGACAGGACAACAAACTACAGCCAAATACAGTATCATGCATGACTCTATCAAAACAATGCTGAACATTAGGAGTGGGAACAGAAGAACATGTGTGACTAATTTCATGCATAAGAAGATTCTAAAAAACAACAGAAAAGGTTTTAGAGACCCTTCGGTGGTAAACTGTAATGAAGCAACAAAAGTATTATTGAAGTATCACAACACTGATCACCTCTGGGTGACTCGAAAGAGGAGGCAGTAACTGGGAGAAAGTATAGGAGAGGCTTCTCATTTCTTCTGATTATTATTATTATAAATTAGGCGATAATTATTTCTTGATCTTGGTGTTAGATATAAGGGTGTCTCCTTTTTTTGACAAATTACTGTGCTATTTTTCTGCATGTGTGCTATATTTTACCAATTAAAAAAAAAGACGGCACTGTTATGTGTTAAATTCATGCACTTTTATTTAATGAGATTTTATTAAAGGCATAAAAAGCCTGTTCTAGGTACTACATAAATAGCAAGGAGCAATAGAAATAAAAATCCCTCACATTCTAGTTGAAGAAAGCAGACAATAAACAAGAAATGTAATAAAAACAATAACAACAACAATAATAAAACTATCACCATAATTCACAACATACATATAGAAATGTTTATTGCTGATAAGTGCTAGGAAGAAAAAGCAAGAAGTAATGTGTGTTTGGGGGTAGGCATGTGGAGATTCAAGGTTAGGTGGTCAAAAAGGGTCTCAGAGGGATGATAACATTGAAGATTTAAGAGAAGATTCTATCCCATGGAATAGGAGAAAATATTCATGAATCATTATCTAATATGAATATGATACCCAGAATATATAAAGAAATCCTATAATCTAACAATAAAAAGATAAACCCCTGTGGGTGGGTCCTAATCCAATATGACTCCTGTCCTTAAAAGAAGAGATGAGGATACAGACACAGAAAGGAATGCCTCTATGAAGACGATGGAGGAAGCCGGCCGTCCATAAGCCAAAGAGTGAGGCCTAGAAGAAATTAATCTTGAGGACACTTCGATCTCAAAACTTTAGCCTCCAGAACTGTGGGGAAATAAACTTGTTATTATAAGCCACCCAGTCTATGGTGCTGTTATGGCAGCCCTAGCAAACTAATACAGGCCCCATCATCTCTTCTGGAATGGAAAGAAGAGAGGATCTTTAGTCTGAGAGCAATGGAAAGTCATTGGAGAATTTTAAGAATGATGTAACTGTATTTACATATTAGCAACTCACTTCAGCTTTTATTTGTAAATGGATTAGAGCTGGACAAACTAGATGTGGAGAATCAGCTAGGAGGTTATATTGCATTCTTCTAGACAA